TGGCCTATGCTCCATTGGGGGTAACAGGCGTAAGTAAGTAAGTAAGTAAGTAAGTAAGCTGTATGAAATGTTTTCAAACACAAACTGAAGCAATCATTCATGTCATATAGTACTCAGGTTTATTCACTATTTGTGAAGCTAAACTATACTACTTGCATAGAAAGAATACTAATCACCATCTACACATCTTCGCCCAAACATATTTAGATGGGGAAAAAAAATTTGAACTTACAACACTATTGAAAAAAATAGATGACTAATAGCTATTACTGGCTATTGCAAACTTGCGTCACTTATGGCGCAAGCGAGATATCCGTTCGCTGACTAAAGGCCCAGTGTAATGAGCATCAGATAGCTCCGTCCTACTTTTTGGCTGTGAAACATGGTCACTGAGAGTATTCATAGGTTAATGAGATTCGATTATAGATGTCTTCGAAGCATTGCTCGTGTATCCTGGGACAACCGAGTAAGCAATACTGTCGTTAGGAAATGGGTGCTAGGCAACGGTTATTACTCTTGTTAAATAATCAATATTTCTAAACTCTTGTATACATTATCAAGTTAAATGATTGAAATATATATCGATGATGATGAACTAAGAGTACACTTTTATTTTTGAACAATAAACAGTAATCAGTTGTTTGTGTTTTTTAATGACAATTGAAATTCTTTTTTTTCGGGTGCTTATTTGTTAATTCTACGTCTTTTTATCTACTTGATGCGAGATGATAATAATAATTCACTGACAACCTTTTGTTTAAATAATTATTTTTTTGTACTTTTGTATTGGTTAATCAATGTAATGAGAAAGATAAACAAACAGCCGCCTTCAAGGTTATTTATTTATTCAACGAAATTAGAAATGTTTACTAAAACTGGAAAAACACAGAAGCTTTCTTTCTATCCTCTATCATTGATGATATATATGAATCTATAATAAGAATATAGTTGGAAAGTAATCAGGATACGTTTATTTGAGTGAATATGATCTAGCTTAGTTAAACACAAGAAATATATTAGAGTAATCACAACACATCCGGCGACACGACAGGCTACTCTAAACTGAGTGTCCCAAACCCCTATTAAATAGAAGAAGACTTGATATGAAGTAGAACGTGTATTCTACAAGCATCCAGAAAGTACGAGGTCCGAGTCCAGAATAAGATGAGGATCCCAAACTGAGTATCCGGACCATAAAACGTTAAAGATAATGCATAAAGTTCGGTCGAATAGGAAACAACATTGATAGTTAGGGCGACCAATAGGGATGGACCAGTAGAATCGGACTTCAAATAATTCTCTTAAGATATTGGATGAATACCCTAACAGATTATGTTATTATTAACACTTACGACAAAATGAATGATACGGACAGTGACCAAAGTATGCTAGAATTCGATCCTTAATTCCTCACTGCCTGAAGACTCATCGTCGAATTTATGTCCGGTAGCTAATAATAATCAAGAGCCATTGACTGGATTATGAAGACGTCGACATCTGAAGGGAAGCACGGTATCAACTGGATAGTTAGGACGCAGCTGGACAATCTGGACTTCGCAGATGACCTGGCTCTTCTATCGCACAGGCAACAACAAATGCAAAAGAAGACGACCAGTGTAGCAGCAGCCTCTGCAGCAGTACGTCTCAACATACATAAAGGGAAAAGCAAAATTCTCCGATGCAACACAACATGCACCAACCAAATCACTATTGATGGATATGCCTTGAAGGATGTTAACACCTTTACATATCTGGGCAGCATCATCGACGAGAAAGGTGGATCCGATGCAGATGTAAGGGCACGGATTGGTAAAGCAAGGGCTGCATTTCTACAACTGAAAAATATCTGGAACTTCAAACAATTTTCAACCAAAACCAAAATCACGATTTTCAATATAAATGTCAAGACAGTTCTACTGTATGGAGCGGAAACTTGGAGAACTACGAAATCCATCATCCAGAAGATACAAGTGTTTATTAACAGTTGTCTACGCAAAATACTTCGGATTCGTTGGCCAGACACTATCAGCAACAACGAACTGTGGGAGAGAACAAACCAGATTCCAGTGGAGGAGGAAATCAAGAAGAAGTGGTGGAAGTGGATAGGACACACACTACGAAAAGCACCTAACTGCGTTACAAGGCAAGCCCTCACATGGAACCCTCAAGGTAAAAGGAAAAGAGGAAGACCAAAGAACACATTACGCCAAGAAATAGAGAAAAATATGAGAGTATTGAACAAACATTGGACAGAACTGGAGACGGAAGCTCAGGACAGAATTGGTTGGAGAAAACTGGTGGGCGGCCTATGCTCCATTGGGGGTAAGTAAGTAATTGACTAAAAAGTCGTCAATTACTCTTTGGTGTTGAGCGATCCTCTAACTTTTCTAATAATTATTATCTAGTTTTGCAAACCATAAGATTATTTACACATGTTGTTTTCCATTTCAGACTACTACAAGTTTTCAATCATTTGCTTACTACATCAAATATGCATATCAATTGTAATCATGTTGGATAATATATATATACATATATAAACTCTCGAGTGTTATATAACTGAATAGATTGTTTGTTGTGTGCGCATTCGGTCTATTCCACGCTACCCTGACAAGCATAAACCTTATCACTTCTAAACACGACCACACTTTGATTACTTACTTATATTTAATTAAAACTTATTTAATCTGTACGTAATCATTTTTTTTCTCTGAACGCATCATATATTGATCTTTTTTTTTTTGAAATTGTAATTAAACTGCTTTACATTCGTTCGCCCTTTCAACTTTATTTCTGATTATTATAATTATTATTTACGATAATAAAGTCATTTAGATTTCCAATCAGTTATGTGTTCACATTTTCATGGGATGTTAGTATCAAGCACTGAATTGCTCTGCACAATTGGCCGTTTCCCAATGTACATAGTTTCAATACTGTCACACTGATCCTACGAGTTTATTTATTTTCATTCGAAAAGAAAGTGAAATTCTTTTGTGTGACACCAAGTTGTACTGGAAATGTATTGCTTATTTTTGTGATCTTCTCTACCACGCATAATTCGTTTGACTTCTGATAAACAATGAAATCATACAGTAGTGATGGAATACTCAGTGTATGAACAAAGTTACTTACTTACTTACGCCTGTTACCCCCAATGGAGCATAGACCGCCCACCAGTTCTCTCCAACCAACTCTGTCCTGGGCTTCCCTTTCCAGTTCCGTCCAATGTTTGTTCATTCTTCTCATATATTTCTCTATTTCTCGGCCTAATGTGTTCCTTGGCTTTCCTCTTTTCCTTTTACCTTAAGAGTTCAGTGTGAGCGCTTGTCTTGTGACTCAGTTAGGTGCTTTTCGCAGTATATGTCCCATCCATTTCCACCCCATCTTCCTGATTTCCTCCTCCACTGAAATCTGGTTTGTTCTCTCCCACAACACATTGTTGCTGATGGTGTCTGGCCAACGAATCCGAAGTATTTTGCGTAGACAACTGTTCATAAACACTTGTATCTTCTGGATGATGGCTTTCATAGTTCTCCAAGTTTCCGCTCCATACAGTAGAACTGTCTTGACATTTGTATTAAAGATCCTGATTTTGGTTGAAAATTGTTTGGAATTCCGGATATTTTTCAATTGTAGCAGCCCTTGGTTTGCCGATCCGTGCCCTCACATCTGCATCGGATCCACCTTGGTCTTCAATGATGCTGTCCAGATATGTAAAGGTGTTAATTTGCTCCAATGCATCTCCATCAAGAGTGATTTGGTAGGTGCATGTTGTGTTGCATCGGAGAATTTCGCTTTTTACTTTATGTATGTTGAGACCTGCTGCTCCTACACTAGCCGTCTTTTCTTGCATTTGTTGTTGCGTGTGATATATAAGAGCCAGATCATCTGAGAAGTCCAGATCGTCCATCTGCATCCTAGCTGTCCATTGGATACCGTGCTTTCCTTCAGATGTTGACGTCTTCATAATCCAGTCGATCACCAGGAGAAAGGGAAATTGTGAGAATAAGCAACCTTGCCTGACACCGGTCTTCACCTCGAAAGAGTCTGTTAGCTGTCCTTTGTGTACGATTTTGCAGTTGAATCTATCATATGAATAAAGTTATACATATATATTTACTTTCATCGTTAACAGGTCAACTTGTTATTAAACTAATTCGGCTATCTATGGACTAATTACTCTATGATACCAAGAAAATCCAATTATCGATTATAAGCCAATGTAAATCCTGTAGAATATTATTTGTTCGCAGCAGTTTATAAAACATTAATGAAGCAATCATTCCAATCAGTGGAGTATGATATAAACGTTGAGATTCTTGTAATTTAATCTCGTAATTTGGTTCATGCTTGGATCTTGAATAAATTCTCACTGACTACATATTCCGGTAAGATTTTTTTTATTTACATATCGGGTAATGTCAGTCAGACAGTTACAACGTAGAACTTCGTACGTAAGTACATCAGTTCAGCTTGCCATACCGCATTAGCACAGAGACGCAATTGTCAGTTCAAATCCCGTAGTGCTACCACTACGAAGATACTATTCAAGAAGTATAACTCAGTGAGATAAGTTTGGAAAGACAAAGGTTAAGATGATGAGAAATTCAGAAGATTAGGATTTGAGAGAACGTAACGAGTGGATGCACCCGCACCATTGCAAACGATTTTGAGCCATATCATTCAAGGTCTCTAACCATCAGTGACTTACGTCTCGCGGACCCCAACCAGATAGCCTACATCTACCAACATTACTCAGTGCACTTGTTAGTGATTTCATAGATTTGTGCCATGTTTTGGTCTGGCCGCCCCTAGCTTTCTTCCAACCTATTCCTACACGAGGCAGTTGGTGGTTAGGCATACGTAACACATGTCCCAACCTCACTAACTGATGGAGTTTCACTACCTCACCAATTGATCTGCCATTCCTACCTAGTACTCGTTTCCTAACGACAACATTGCCTACTCAGCTGTCCCTGGATATTTAACAGATAATGTATGAAATGTATTTTAGTTTCGTTTATTTTTTTACAAAACTTTATTTGATTATCTTGAATGAAAACCATACACATAAATAAATTACACAAGATAATGATAATATCAGTTATATCATCAGTCTGGTACATACATCCAAGTGTATTAGAGTAAATTACATTGTTCATAAATTAAACACATTCATTCAATCAATCAAAAATCAAGCATAACTCCGAAATAACCCTTATCCCACTTTGTGGTAATCTGATCTGTAAGAATAGAAACTAGAAAAGTACTTTTGTTACAAAATAAACAACATTGACAATCATTATCACATAGGAGATTTTCTTGAAAAAAATCATATTCACAAAATAACAACTATACATGTACAAAATAATTTAAAGAAACTGTGATGAATGAATGCATATCATCATCCTTTTGCAGTAATTGGCCCAGTTCTAATCAATTTATGCCCATTCTCAACTAATTCCGACAAAGTGACACGACCACGTTTTTCAATGAATTGAGCAACTGCTTCATATTCATCATTAGTAATATGAATAACTTTGCCACGATCATCCAATACACCAGTTAATCGACCAGAAGACATAAGTGCTTTGATTCTTTCGACACAAACCTTGAAACAAAAAAAAGATGATAGAAAATCATTCAAAATTGTTCACAAGTGCTTAGTAGTTGCATGTTAACTATATACAACACCACTTACGTCTTCTATTGAAATTTAGTATAAACTCATCTACAAACTCTTAACAGCTTCATTATGCATAACTGGCTTAGCTTAGCTCAAACTATTCGAAGTTATAACTTATTCTTCGAAACTCGAATTACTTACGACGACGTAAGTAACCCCCCCTTTAAAACGCACAATAAATAAAATAATGAAATATAACAACTCAGTAACTACATATATATTTCCTACGACAAAGTTACGAGCGGTGGATATACTAGCGCCACTATGTGTAAACCCATTAGTGCTAGGAAACATTCGGTTTTCTAAGCCATATTGGGGGAAAAATAAGGCATTAACACAGGCAATATTAAAAGAGTGATGTAAAATTCTTTGTTAAAAGTGGAAAATGATAAGACGAATGTTTAAAAATAAACAGGAAGACAAAGTTAAAGGAGCAAATGGAAGACATGGAGTGACCAAATCTCGCAAGAGAAAAATGTTTAGGATATATAGTATGGCAAAGACCGGATTACACAATTGAATAATACCAAAATTTGTTCATCCTTCCCAAACTCAATTGCAGACATTAACATCACATCCTCTCTCTCCTTCTCTATCTATATAAATGTATTTCGGTATGAGCCACATTCTAAGTGTGAATACCAGTGATGCTATTCGATTGCTTAAGCTGAAGAATAAGAGGAGGAATTCATTTAGCTTTAATTGCTTCTACTGACATAAAACGATGCAGTGGGTGATCAAGCTGTTTGAAATTGGCGGAAAACTATGCTAGTACTCACTTGTTGTCATGAGTTGCTGAAAACAGTCGATAACTTAGGAAGTTTTTATTCTTTATAACATAACTCGACAAGTACAAATCTACGTGCCTAACTTTTAGCGTACAAGTCAATCATGCTACATAGTTGATCAAATCAACGTCTATGAAATAAGGTTCGAATCTAAGACTTAATGAATAAAACCCGACTGTTTTAAACCCAAGGCACATGGTCTCGTGTGCTGTTTCCCAGCTGCCCACACCGTGGAAGGGTGTTTCTTGACGGACCTGAAAAGGAAGATAGATTAGTGTTGGTTTTAGAGACCTGGGTACGTGACCGCACAGCCCAAGGGACAACTTCTTCAGGCCGGTCACGCACGGCCTTTTTATGTCAAGTTTATGAAGTGTTAGCTCCGTTTTTGTTTAAAAGGCCTTACCGCCGGAGACGGAAATCCGTGAGGTAGGGTGAGGTGTGACATTTTTAAGGTCGACGTTTTCTAACCCTTCCTTCCTTGTGAGTAGGCAGCATCGCTGTAGATGCTGGTTGTCCGAGGGAAACACCTTACTGCTGTCACACCCATCCATCACAGTCAGCAGTACGACTTCGCCCTTAGACCTTGAGTAGCTGTTTTTAGTCTCATTGTTCTCCAATCGACCTGCCTGGCATGGTAAAACCTACAGGAACATATGTTCCAGACAACACAGCTCAGTTGGGTCATCACGATAGACAAGCCCGACCACCACATCAAGGCAACAGCTACGGTCGAGAACAATAAAATCAATTTCAATAGTACTGCATAAAAACGAGGAATATATATATATATGTACCTCAGTTTTCAAATTTAAATTCACTGTTAAATGTTCAATTGGAATAATTTTCGCTTCTTCAATAGCTTCAATAAGTTGTGCATTAATTAATGCTTTTGCTTTATCATCATGTTGTTGTACATCTACGCCTTCTTCTTCAATACTAAATTCTTGTTTTAAACGTTCATACTCGGCTTGTTCACGAGCTGCTTCTTCCTCACGACGTTTTGCTTCAGCAGCAGCCTACCAACAACAAAATAAATAGTTGATGTGAATTTTGCAGAATATTTGAAAAAAATTGTAATAAACATTCGTGTATTGATTAAAATTAAAAATAATAACAATAATAGGAAAGCTTATTATTCTAACGAATAGATTGTTGACTGTTGTTAAGCAAACAAAACAATTGTGTGTAGATAGATAGATTAGTTACCGAAATTCAATAAGGTTGACTAACTAACAGATAATTATTTCTCAGTAAATTTTCACAATAATTAGCATTCAGCTACAAGGTTATAAATAGGTTAAACCACAGTTTTTAAATGTGAGTGGATCATCTAAGACTCCCCAATGTGTTAATTTACCTTTTCTTAAAAAGTCTGGTACATAACTCCTAATTGTAACTGAGTGAGAGATTGATCTTGAATTTTCAATGTTCTTATGCAATATAACTATTAATGAGGTTTGATATAACACTAAATGTAACTGAAAAACTGAAATAACGTTTGAAATTGAAAACATTCTTCACTATTGAACTGTTTTCTAACAATCAAACAAACACTTCACATCAAAGTCGACATGATCATTTTACGAATGAGATCAACAACAACAAAAAAACAGAGGAAAACTGTCATGAAGTTTCTTTGAATGACTATTTCTAAAATTTACTTTTGTAATATTAGTGTAGTTATTTTACTGTCTCTGGAGTATCGTCAATTCCCCGTATGTCAACAATATATGATGGAAAATTAACAAAGAGCGAATACAGCAAACAAATATAGTTTACTAATAGTTTTTAGTCATAATCCAACGCTAATACGCATTTTTCACAACATTAACATTATACCGATCAAGGAGTAGTGTTGCACGGATGATAACACGAATTTACAATCAATCAAATAAGTAAAAGGAGGGAAGTGAATCTAATATCCGTCTTTGAATGAATCAATTAGTTGCCCATGCAATTGTAATATAATTAAGTATCATTACTAGTTGACTAAGTATTGCAGTAATATTTCAAAATATGTACCAGTGTAAGACAGTAGTGGTAGTAGTAGTATTAATGGCCTAACTGAAAAGAAATACTGACTCGATCTACTCTATTTGCCTTTTACTAAGCCAAAAAAAAACAGATAATAGGCAGTGACTAGCGGGAATAGTACCTATAACTCATAGTTTTCAATCATGCAGCTAAAATAATCACGGAAATACATGGAAATAGTAGTTGTAATTCCTAAAATATCATCAGCCTCAATTGTAACTGTTAGTTATGCAAATGAGCAAGGAATAATTTCCAATAAACGCGAACGGATTTTAGAAGTTCGTAAACTGTAGGATTAATTTTCAAAGTAATAAAGCATGCTGATAAAAACGATATGAATAAGCGAAATTGTCATTATAAGGTGTACAATAGCCGTGTTCGTACACGCTGAACATAGAATTATACGAATATTTACGAATTGCAAGAAAACAACCAATAGTTTATCAAAACTACATATTCTTACTAACTACTAAATTAGGCGAAACTATATTACAGAGAGATACGTATAATATATGACAGAAATTCTATTTTATGTAAAATATAGCATGACTGGGCACCAGAAGTAGTGCGATGAACATAAAATAAAATGTATTTATAGTCAGAGACACTATCCAAGCACCGGAATTGCGTTTTTTCTAAGAAGCAGATCCGCAAACCTTTGACACCAAGGTCTAGCAATGAAACGTCAGATTAAATAGTGGCCGATGACCAGAATTTGATTAATACCCCATTCGTTCCCTTGGCATACTGAAGCCTATGTACACCAATGGTTTGGAATTGGGATTCTCCAACTTCCCATTCGTAGACCTTCTATATCTACCAACCAGATTTAAGCACTGACTCGCTCGAAGGAAGACTTTCCCTATCGTCGAAGATTCCAAGGCATTTAGAGACTACATGACAGAATATCAGTTTAATAAATATAAACACTGATTCCTAGTATGATTTTTTGAAACCTTACAAATTTGTTTGTGTCTCTTCAAAAAATACCTTAGGCTTTTCATAAAATATTAGGTAGTTACAATAAGCGAATAAAAAACGGTAAACAGGTACAAATTTTTCAAATCAACAAATCAGACTGATACGAGGGTAAATATACCAGCATGGAAAATTACTTACTGCTGCGGCTGCAGCCTTTTCTTCCGCTTCTTCTGCCTTCTTACGTTTTTCTATCTCCATGTCTTCAATTTTCCTTTGGTGTTCCCGGTAACGTTCCTCAGCTTCTCGCTCTTCTTTTCGACGTTCCTTTTCTGCTAACTTGGCAGCTTTTTTGGCTCCGACTTTCTTTGAACTTTCATTTGAATGATCTATATCTGTTGGTTGAGTGTCTGGATTATCCACAGCATTTTCAACACGCCTATCGTCGTCCTCAGATTCCGACACATTTCTCATTCGAGCAGCCAAACGACGTTGTCCACCTACATTTCCAATGCGGCGACGTGCTCGACCAGCAGCAGCTGCATGTGCATGGGGACGCGATCCACCTAAAAGGGAAGAATATTTGTAATGAGAACTATGATGTTTTAGAAAACATGAAAAACAATTTTTCTGAAATCCAAATTCGATAAATTATGAAATATGGATAAATACTGAAACAAAAGTAGATAACGTCAATTGATTATATGCAAAGGCAAATTTGTTACGTATGTGATGGTTACAGTTGTAACACCCTATTAGCGCCACAAGATGAAGTCGTCAAGAACGATCCCAGAGTAGTATGTGAAATAACAGTATTAGTGGTGATGGAGAGGATATGATTCAAGAAAATATGAATTATTGCGGTAAAAGTCAACGGGGACATCCCTAACTTTTGTTAAAGTAAGCCTCATACCTTCGTAATTTGAGATATTACTAAACATGAGAATGTGGCATAAAATACAACTTTTGGTATTATGAACAAAGCAAATATTGATACAGGTAGACACCAAAATATATATACGCCACACAATCAAAATAAGCTTGTGAAGAAATAGAAAAAGTACGGTGGGTATAACAAAAATGGATAGAAAGGAAAGTGAAATAATATTATATTAATGATAATAGGAGAAAGAGTCCAATCAAGGAAAATACAATCAGGAAGAGTCCTTCCAGTTAAGTTCCTCTCACTTATGTGAAGAAAATAAAAAAAGTCACAGCAGGACCTCCATTGGTTTCTGTCTCTGAGACAAGTCTGATAATATCTCAAGCCAGAGTTTCACTATCTATAGAACCCCAACCAGATGCCAGTGCTGTACAGCTTTCACACCACGAAACTATGTCATACACTGAACGCCCCTCTACTTTTTCCAACTAGTCTTAGCGTTTGAAAATGCTGCACGATATGGAATTTGCTGAGACAACATTTGTCGTGCATGTCCGAGCCACCAGAGCCCGTGTTTCAAGATGGTGACACCAACTAAATTATCATCACTGTGCCCAGACACACGTTGCCAAAACTCTACATTACTAACATCGTGTTGCCACTGTATGTAGGTGGTCCTTCAGAGATAAAGGTAAATGAACAAAAAATTCCGGAATACCTTCAACTCGGAGACCAGGTTTCTCAAGCAGAGAGCGAAACTACTCTAACCTAAGCATTGTAGACCCAAACTTCCACAGCCAGACTAACATTACGAAAGCGCCAAACATGGCACAGATTAGCATAGGCCGATTTGGTTCTCACAATAAGTGGATTGAACTCATCACTTACACCACCAACAGCATTTGCATAGTTACCCAGGTATATGAACTCGATTAGTTTCAACTGTCCACACTCCCAAGAGTGAATGCGGATCCAGCGTTCTTCTAGCCGTCGTATAAAAGTACTTTACACTTAGAAGGTGAAAAGCACATGCCATACCTATGGACACTGGCTATCGACTGAATACGGATTGTATGGCTTGGGAATCATCGTACAGTAGGACAATATCATCCGCATATTCAAGGTCAAAAAGTCCACCGGATAGCAGATCCACACCACCTTTACCTACATCATAGCTGTCTCCAGAACGTTATCGATGGCAAAGTTGGAGAGCAGTGGTGGGACTATGCAACCCTGACTATATCCTCTGCTTGAGTGAAACAATGCAGAGATGGTTGTATGCCACCACTTTGCCTGAGATGTCTGTCTGTAGGGCCTTCAAGATGTTTATGAACTTCTCAGGCACACCCTTTTTCAATAGACAATCAAAGAGAATAGTGCTGTTCAACGAATTGAAGGCGGCTCTGATTTCAAAGAAGACAACAGTCGTTAGCCTGTGGTAAGTGTGGCGGTGTTCGGATATTGGGTAGAGAGCGAAGATATGACCAATGCATTCTTGATTAGGACAAAAGCCAGCCTGCTCCTCGTGAATCATTTCCTTTCGAGTATTGAACAATTTACGAAGTATGACGGGAGCCAATAATTTGGACACAATCGATAATAGACTAATACCCCGATAGTTGTTACATACATGACGTGAGCCTTTTTCGACATAGGGACAACTATCGACTCATTCCGCGATATTGGAACATTCTCTAGTTGTTAAACGGTGGGCTTCCTTTGTAAGTGTTCGAATCAACAATTATAGCCACATTGTTAATCTTAGAATTAGTGTTTTCTTGAGTAATGTTTTCATTCGGGAACACAACTTAGAAAATCTAATCACTTTCCATAGATGTTGTTTCGGAATTAGGAGAAGCTGGGTTTCAGTCTTGAGTTTAAAAGATATGTAAAACAGGTGCTTGTTTAGTGTGCTGTATTTACTTGTGATGGCTTTAAGTACACTGTTAATCAAAACTAGACAGAAAGTTGTGATATGTTTTTAGTTACAAAATGTTATCTGAGGCACAGAGTGACTTTTCTAAGTGGTGAATACACTTTACAAAGTCATAACCCCTTCATCAAAAGAGTCAAGCTACTTATCACCATGTGCGCTCCACGTAAATACCGTGCATTTGATACACCTAAAGGTCGTTTAGGTGATTACTCTACGGCTAAATCAGTCACAAAAAGGAATTAAATTATGACAAAGGCCGTTATAACGACAAGCAATAAATCCCTTTCTTGTTAAGATCACTGTAAAGCAACCTAGCGTCGAATATTCTTTCCTTAAATAGTACTGCCATGCTAAAAAATGCTTACATGCGGCAATTCTCCAAACAGTTATCTATGTTTGTTACATAGGTGATTTAAAAACAATGTCCCCCTCAGCTGGAATGAGTATTTTGAACCGAACTAGACGTTTGTGTACACTTGTATTACATTTGAACCAGAAGGCATTATTAATAAATTTGTTTGATTAATAAACCTCATATTAGCAACATTTTATTTCTTTTTAGATTACAGTTGAACATAATCATCTCTGTCAGTTACAATGTCGACGTTTAGCTGTTACCCGCATGTAGATATTACTGATAACTGTTAATGTAATTCATATTAAAAAACTGGTCTTGTGCTAGTCATTCTTTTAATTCACGTCGGCTGCGCAGTTTTTTGGCCATGGGGAACCAACGCCGAAATTCTAAGACAACGGTAGCTTGGTTTGTTAATTTCGTCAGAAAAAAAGTGTACAAAAGGATAAGTATTTGAAGGCCATTCAGACCACAGAAAAATTCCTAAAAGAGGTGAACACTTTAATTTGAATGTTCTGAAAGGATTTCCCCGGTACGTCTTCGAAGTTAGCCTGTTTCCATTGCTTTATCCGTCAGAGGATATCATACCGAAACTTTATCTCCATAAATATATATATATATATATATATATAGCAATACATGTTTTCATTCAATTACTTCACCTTTGACGAAACAATCAATCACATTCGTTTGCTAACTGGGGATAGAACTTAATGAGGTCTTTTGAAACTTTCTTCACCATGAAATATTAGGAGTGAAATCGGTACTCACTACAAATTAATCTAATAGAGTAAATAAAGCCCTATAACTCTTAGGGGTCAACTCATAATATTTTTGCGTGACAATGAAATTGATTAAAGAGAATAACATTTATGAAATTGTGGTAATAACCACCAATAATCTTACAGAAAATATCAACAGTGATCTTGAAGGAACTAATATTTACCTGACTTAGTTGATCTACTTAAGAATCGCCTGAATATAAAGATTCCAGACAAAAGAATAACGACTGCAATGACTAGCCCGCCAATAGGTACCATTGAACAGGCTTGATAACTTTGAAATTCCCTTCTTTTTGAGCGGTGCCAATGAATGAATATTCAATATCTGTAGTTTCCAAAAGACAATATCCAATATCTTTTTCACGAGCTAGTGTAAACCAATTTGATTTCTTCGCGCTCGATTCTTGTTCTTTCGGTACGGTTCCAGGTGTTCGGTAATGTCCAATGGATGGAGGTCTAGCCACTCGACTGTCTAATTCTAGTCAGTCTAGTTGTTTTTGAGTTTGTTTGTCTCGGGATTTGAATGAAACGTTTATTTGAGTGCAGTAGGGTTTCTGGATACCAGCAGCCGTCACACTACTGGACCGGAGATCAGTTAGTTGCAATGTGGAGAGTAATAAGGGTAATAAGCATAAATTAAAATGATTATATGAGTAAAATTTCAGAACTGAGTAATGTATAGATGAATTTAGTTTATTAATTGGTGGTGAAGATTGTGAGAGAGGACCGAAGTGTAAGCAAGGGAGAGTAATAGGCGAGATAGATTAATTGAGTGATCTGAGGAGATGGCAATGGTAACAACTAGCAGGTCTCAAGATATGCATCAGGCACAGCTTGTCCAAGAGGGAGTTTGTTATACATTCTGGACCGAATACCAAAAGGTTCACTGTATTTTTAGCTCGCATATTATTGTAAGTGAAGGCACATTATCCATTCCAATTCTGGCGAACGAGTCAATCTTTACATTGTGAATCAACTAATCCATCCCTAAAGTATGGAGTTCAGCAAATTTTAGAAATTGATTCACATTCATTCACTTTGCAAGATTCACTCGAGAATAAAGTTTCTGTTTATGAATCATCACCAGATCATTGTTATATACGCTAAGCAACATGTTCCTTGAACCACCCTTTCAGACTAGATCATACACTTAACGATATACCGACCACGTTAATTATTTATCCTCTAACTCCTCTATTACTGAATCCCATTTGGACCGATTTTGGTTCCTTTTATCATAAAAGCGACCTAACAAATAGCATTATCTTTCCCTGAATGTTCTAGATTGGTTTATCGTTAACGCTACAAGTTGACTTGATGTGTCCGTTGTCTGACTATATAAAAAAGTGAATTATGGGAAGGACAATTTTGATTACGCCGACGGATAGTTACTGCCCATTATTTAGTTTAAATGTGTGGAGTTTAATAATCATTAAACATGAATTTTTGGTGAACATTGGACACCTGAAAGAAGAGGATAACCACTTCGTCCTAGTATGATACTGTTCGTCAATGCTCATCTACGACCCCACAACTGACAGCTGAACCCGAGATCTTTAATCTCAAGCATCAACACTTAACCTCCAAACCACTAAGTCCGAATTCAATGGTGATAATGTCAAAATCTAATCAGTCGACGATATTGCATGAAAATTACACATTGTCTTCAGTAGGTAACTGCCCTGAACCGATGGATACTGGATTAGTGACCATGGGGCTAGTTGTTCACGCATGTAAACGGAGGTTTTTTATTTGATTCCCACTGGTGGAATCATGGATGTGCACTACTGACGAGTTCCATATTAGTAAAAATTCTTGGTCTGTTCATTATGTCAATCAATTCCAGACGAAATGAATCTCAAGATAGTAGTTTCGTAGTTTCGAAGAAGCCTCTATAGTGTTTTCCTGCCCACGCTACTGAATGGTCCTCCTTTCTTCAATTTTTACAAGAGTAACAACAGAGATTCGTTCCTTGTAATAGTGTTTACCTTGACCCCGAACCTCCTCACATGTTGAAGTGATTGCCTCCTTGATACCTTTCCAATTTTTCTCCAAGGCTGTTTCCTGCAAGTCTTGGAACTTAATGCTGAGGGCCAACTTGGATTTGTTGAGCTTTATCGTATCCCGAAGAAAAGCCGTATGAAACTTCTGTGATGTTGTCTGCCCCATTATCCAGTGTTTTTCGAGTTTCAGTTTTATTTTAGAGACCAGTAAGTGGTGATCTGAGGCTATATCAGCTCCTCGCTTGGTTCTCACATCCTCCATAGTCCTTCTAAACGTTTTGTTGATACAGATATGGTCAATGTGGTTCTGAGTAGTGTGATCCAGTGAAATCCATGTGGCTTTGTGCATGCGTATGTGTGGGAATATTGTGCCACCGATGACCAGTTTGTTGAAGGCACATAGGTTTGCAAATCTCCCACTAGTTTTGTTCCTTTCTCCCAGTCCATGTCGTCCCATGATGTCTTCATATTCAGTGTTGTCCATGCCCACCTTGGCATTCACGTCTCCCATAAGAATCGTCAAATCCTTTGGCGAACATTTCTCGACGATTGACTGCAGCTTTTCGTAGAATTGATCTTTAACGTCGTCATTGTAGTCATTGGTAGGTGCATAACATTGAATGAGGTTCATTGTAATGTCCTCTTTCTTTGTTTTGAAGGATGCTTTAATGATCCTGGGTCCATGAGATTCCCATCCTATCAGTGCCTTTTGTGCATGTTTGGACAGCATCAGTGCAACTCCTTGTGTATGTGAAGCATTTTCCTCTTCATGACCAGAGTATAACGGCAGTTCTTCTGAAGCTAGTTTCAGTTATCCTACCTGTGTCCAAAGCGTTTCCTTCATGCCGAGCACCTCGAGGTTGTATCTTTTCATTTCTGCCGCAACTTGAAATAGTCTTCCAGTCTCCCACAATGTACGAACGTTCCATGTGCCTAAAAACTGGTTGCTCAGGTTGTCAGAAGTGGCATCGGCCCCTTTATCCGGGCTTGGGATCTGCAGTAGCCTCGAAGGTTCTACTGGCGGACTTAGGGCTAAATACATATGTAAAGCTGTTATACTGAGTGAGTGATTTTCCATTCTAAAATTGCCAGGCGAATCATCCCCTGCCTTAATAGCGGAATCGTGATTCCAGTCTCATCATCACAAACGCAGACTGACGAATGAACTCATTGAAACTGCTGAATATGGCCGCTTGATTCCCGCTTGCATATACAAAGATTATAACCCTTCCACTCGAAATACATGTCCTCCCGATAACCCTTAATGTTCGTCAAGTGTAGTAGGAAAACACTATAGTCTCAACATAATGCTAGATTGTCAATGAACCGTAAGAGTTCGAAGACGGACCGTATGATATTAACAAATAGAGAATTCATTCTGATACCCGTATATCATGGCTAATATTAGTAAAGCATGACTCAACTATTTGTAACTCCCCAAATTATGATTAGGATAAGTGATCCGCAATGGAGTACCGTGGTTAGCTAAAGGAATACTCGGTTTCATAATCCAGTTTCGATACTTATTTTTATTTTAAGAATCCAAATTAAGAATGATTTCATAAATGTTAAATTTTACTGTTACGTCTCACATACTCTTTAAATGGTTTGCAAAGCAATACAGGTAATCAGACTATTACTGTTGAGCAACAAAGTTTTTGTTCGTAATCGTTGTTTTGCTTGTCCATTCCTGACCAAGCTAACTTTGAACCCGCAAGTAAGTGACCAACCTATTGACTTATCGATTATCTATAAAAATTTCATATTTCAGGGATATCATCACATTTACATTGCAGCACCAATTAAACAATCTTTTGTCGTTTGAGTCATAGGTGTTTGACTGGCACAACCCCTATGATGTATAATAGTTGTAGAAAATATTACAAGGTTTCCAAACGTCTTCGACGCTGTAGGAAGCACTAAACACATAATTATTGATTCCCAAGACTGGTAATGACTGAGGACAGTTACAAAATATATGAACCGTTTATAGTACCTGTTTTTCCTATTTAGCTTGTATATGAACACTTCTACGAAGAAAACGCGATTGGTAAAAAATAAACATTTATTATCGTACTCGTTTTGTTTAGCTATACCAAAAACACTCACTTGCGCTCAACTTTCTTTTTGACGTTACTGCCATCTTTCATAAATTGCTGCTCGATATAACGCCTACTTTCTCCATCAAATAAATTTTCAACCTCGGATTTATTTCTATAATTTGTGCAGGGATAGTAATGAATAGTTAGTGGTGATCATAGCCAATCTCGACTCGGTCACCACTAAGAGCTAGTGGCATCGTCTCGAAGGATTCCATTCACAGAGTACCCTAATCGACATCCAACTGATAAGCTCTATCCCCAGACACTTCACTTCCTATCAGTTTCCTGTTCTTACAAATCCATGTACTTATAATAGGAAGAGAATCACTGGTCATATTATCGCAAAACCTATTCTTCTCCAATCTGTACTTTATCCATTAATTAGGATGTAAAGTAACACCGCTTCAATCCTTCTTTTCTTGCTTTAAGATCTCATAACTAGTTCGAGAGTGAACGATTTGAAGATAGTCTTAGGATCAAGCGAAATGCAATGTGGCGTAAGTTACAGACCTTGAATCAATCTCAAATCAGCGTGTTTATGAAAATGATCGAACGGATGGAAAAACGCAAAAAAAAATGTCAGAACGACATAGTAAATCGATTACCCGAAGATGTATAGTTCGAGGACTAGTAAATTGGTAAACCAAAAATATCAGCAAGTCACTAACTTGGTTCGTTATTTCTCTACTAGTTAAATAAACGTTTCCATGTTAACAGTCTGTCTGTTCTTCATGTGCTATGGAAACTAGTCAACTTGTCGACAAAAACAGATTAGGAAATCATCTCACTGCATAAATCCGACGTAAAGCAGTCGAGTCCCCAATGGGTGGGCGGAAACGGTTATTCGAAGAAAGTAGGTTACTGTAACATAATCATAAAAGCATTTATTCTCTTAGATACTTTTCATTTTTATCTTTCTAACCTTTCAAATAATGTGTGGCACCCCACCAGTATTAAGTCTTTTGACTAATTAAGAGAATACTAACTCTCAGGCAAGTTGTCTACCAAGATGGATGTGTCCTTACCCACCCACTCGATAATAAATCGTGTATATATGTCCACTGCACATAACCTATTCAAGTGACCGTTGTAGATGATTGGGGTCAACTCGTATAAGACAAGAATTATGCTGTCGTGGAATCCAGGTACTGTAACTAATTCAATAAATGAACGGAAAAAACATTACAAACAAATGTATAGAGAGAAAAGACTATAGAACTACATAGTGAAGCAACTACTGCATGCTACATCCCAAGACTTGCATTAGACTTGATGACCTCTAGGGGGATGAGTAGTCTCTCTACCTAGTGGATGGCTTAGTCAGGGTACAGTGACATTTCATTTGCCTTGTAAGTCAATCTACTCTCGTCTCGATAAAGGATAACTGGTACAGATTAATAAGTCGACACCGTGGAACTTGTGTATTTGGTAGCTTGAGTACCATAGTTTTCCTTTTATAGGTAAACACATCGTTACGGTGAGACACCCTGTTTCATAGGGGCGCTCAGAATGCAGGACAGTATGGTCGCCAGGTTGAAGAATTATAAAAAGTGAACGCAGGATCACACTAACCAGGAAATCATTCTAACTATGGTGAGTTGACTGTTGTTCCATTTATGGAAACGGATGTTGAACTACCAAGTGAAAGGTGATAAAATGTTAAGCCTTATATTGTTTCGTGATCGAACAGAAAGATAATACACAAAAACCTCAAGATAGTGTAGTGTCCTGGAGGAATGAACAAAAAATAACCTTCGAAAATAGCTCCCAGATTTCGAGATGAGTGGAAAAACATGATGATAAACTCCGGAGTTTGTTGAGATTACGTATCCTATTTCTTAGCCTATCTCAATAATCACCTTTGAGGTACTATTTAGAAACTAGCTCCGCAGATCTTATGTAAATGTCACCCTTGGTTTCTTGGAGAATACGGGTTCAAGCAAGTAGTACGGTAAACTAATAGGTTTATTATTCACGCTCGTTCAATGAAGTCATATGATTTCCCACTAGTCTAGTAGCAACTTTTATGAAACAATTCACTTGAGGGAGTTTGAATAAATAATTGGAGGATTCGTGACCGAGCAACTTTAGCTAAGGGGTATCCGGTTAGACTAATGAGGTTAGTATCAGTGCCCAATACTTACATTGAGAATTTACCGCCACATACCAATTGAAAATATGCACCTGCTTTTATGATAGTTTTTATTGCTCTTAGAGCTTGCAATAACTTTATTTGGGAGCGAACATTATTAATACATTCTGACTCACCATGAATATATCCTCAAGAAACATAGATATAATTAGATGGAAAGCAATTAATAGGAGAACATTGATTGTAATCTTTGTTGATTTTACTCAGTCATACAATCGCTCGATTTAAAGTCTTCTGTAAGATGCCGTATTTACGCCAAGCAACAAATCACAGGGAGGCCTGCTGAATTTTCGATTTTCAAGTGTATCACTTCGACGTAGTTACAGATGAGTAGGAAAATCGAAATATACTAAATTTTATCGATACTAATGATATAAAGATATACTTAAAGCCTAGGAAAACATACTGAATAGTCATGCTTCACAGAAATACCTAAATTTACCTATATAAGAATATGAATCATGAAAACAAAGGCAAAAAATGTAAACTAAACAGACTATAAGAACAAAATCTGCCAATATTTTATCAAATTCAATGTATTTACATAACGTTTTGTTGTTAAAAAAATTCTGTTAGTTAGACTGAATAGTTCCCAGGAAGCTTCGAATTTCTGGTGTTAATTGTGGATGTTCATGACGGCGACATAATTTGAGTAATTTTTCACGTTGAGACGGGTTAATACAATGCCTATAAAACTCCAAAAATACCAATAAACTTTTAAACCAAGTCAGCGGCATACGTTTCTCATCAGTGAAGTAAACAGTGCAATCTTTATCAAAGCTAAAATTTAAGAAATAAAACGCAAAAACACTCCAGGTTATAAAAGCAGTACGATAGTTTATCGATAACAGAGAAGATATGTAAAACAAAGACAATTTAAAACCGTTGCAATAATATATTTCTATAACGGCTAGTGATCAAACAGTTATCTTGCCTCATTTCAGTTATTTATCTACAACGATGGACATTTATAACACCAATGAAAATAGGAGGTGAAAATTAACCCGGAATCTCTTGGGTCAGTAATTTAACATAGATCAAGTTAGAAAGGGGATCGATAAACCACGGACATGATTATAACGTTGCACAGGTTACTTTTTGCTTAGTAAAACTAGACAGGGATTTATACACTGCAATTTATATAAGGGGGTTTATTACTTTTCTTTGCACTGCAGTAAAGAAAAGACTTATTTTATATTTCTTCACCAACTATAACTGAATAAAATGTTTATTCAAATTTTCAAGTTACTTTCTTACAAATATATGCTGAACCTACTTAGACGTTAAGACTTGTCAAGCTATAATTATTAGTTGAGTATCGTAACACACACTAACAATTATGGTTAATACCAAGGGAATTATAAAACCATTTTTTGTTTGATTTTCAAATTCGTCAAAATTTGATGTAACACAGATGTAACATTGAGTTTTGTTACAGTATCGTTTGATTTTAAAAAATTAAAATATCATACACCTGTATGATGAACGACAATAATTGTTTGATATACATGAAGTCACTGACAAGTGGACTGAGTCATGTTGGTAGATGTAGGCTACCTGGTTGGAGTCCGCGAGACGAAAGTAACCGATGGTTAGAGGCTTTGAATAACATAGCTCAAAATCGTTCGCAATGGTGGAGGTGCATCTACTCTTTGTTCTCTTAAATTATAACCTCCTGAATTCCCGATCGCCTCTAACTTTCTCTTTCTAAATTTGTCTCACTGAATTATACTTCTCGAATCATATCTTCGAACCCTAATCTTATCCGACCTAACTTCTACTATCTCTACCACAATGGGATTTGAACTGACAATTGCGTCTGTGTGCTAATGTGGTATGGCAACCTGAAATTATGTACTCATGTACGAAGTTCAACGTCGCAACTGACTGACTGATGTACAGGTAGTACTGTTATCAATATAGTACGCAAGAACATTTACACAGATTTTATAAAGTGTACACTGAAACTAACGACAATTAGGTATTACTACACTTCAAAGACTATTAGATTATAATCAAAGGTAAAATTGAAGCATTTGTAAAACCAATTAGTTAAATCATTATACTTAAGATAAGAAAACACTGTAGAATCTGTCCATGAGCAAAAACGATTGCACTTTTGACCACCGTCAGCATAAAATAAATCTACTGCAAAAAAATTAGGATGCATTAACCTGCCTTTCTGTCACCTATTCTCAAAACTGTGGAAATATTACAATCAAAATAAGTGTTTTACATTTGCAAATATTAGGAATACTACCCATATAATATATACTTCCACAATAATTAGAAAAGGGTTTTTATAACAGAAATAACTCAGTAATTATCAGTTACAAAATAGGGTTCTTAAATTTGCAAACCCTTTTTATCACGGTTTGTTATCTTGCACGATAACATTGAAGACATATTTTATTCGAATAAATAATTACTTAATGCTATTTAACAACGACTCCAACTAGGTCTGACAGTGAGCGCTTAACTTTAAGATATTCACATATTTTGTCGCTCAATCAGTCAGTTACAACGTAGAACTTCGTACGTAAGTACATCAGTTCAAGTTGCCATACCACATTTGCACAGAGACGCCAATGTCAGTTCAAATCCCATAGTGCTGGAGATAGAAGAAGAATTAATGGTAATGGAGAATAGTAGGGATCGAAGAAATTACTCAAAAAGTATAATTCAGTGAGATAAATTTAGAAAGAGAGAGATGACGAGGGATTCTGGAGATTAGAATTTGAGAGAACACAAAGAATGGATTCACGTGAGTCATTGCAAACGAAGCCATGTCATTCAAGGTCTCAAACCATTGGTGACTTTTGTCTCACAGACCTCAACCAGGTAGCCTGCACCTACCAACATAACTTAGTTCACTTGTCAGTGACTTCATGGATTTCTGCCATGTTTTGGCCTAGCCACCCCTTTTGTTGCTCAATAAATTTATAAGAAAAAAAGAAGTGCACTGACTACGACGGAAAGATTGACATTTCACATGTCACTGAATAAAAAAGAAAGTGTTTTATTTTACAAAATTTACGAAAGTAAAATATAGTACATATACTAATAATTCAGCAATAAAAAAATAACATACCTAATAAAATAATCAATAATTCTTTGAACAGCAGCTTCTGGTAAATGATACTTTTTATTTAAAAATGTTTCAATAACCATTGATCGTGGAATGCTAAAATCCTCTTCCAGTGTAAGAGCAAGGGCGACTGCAGCGAAACGTGATTTTAATGTTGCTCTTTTAATTAAATTGGACAAGATGACACCTTCAGTTTTAGACATTTCTGACTGATCAAATAGTAGAGAAAGAGATTTTTTATTGAAAAGTTAATAAAAAGATGAAATAGAGATCAATTTAACAACAAGAATAAAACCTTTTTTGTTGAGAATCAATTCAATTATTTGTAAGTGTAAAATAGTTTTAACAGAATAGAATAAATTTTGATAAGTTTCGAAAATTAGTTGTATAAAAAAATTCATCGAAAAAACTGATAGCTTTTGGTTGGATGTTAGTGTTCTACTGTACTGAGATGAATATGTCTAGTGAAACATACCTGATATATGAGCGTATTTATAAAGGCCATTAGATATGTTTAGGGTGATTCATGAGTGACAAATTTCGAGGATTAGTTATGAGTTGGATATGCAAACACAATTACTATTCGAAGGTTAGTGAATGTTCAAACTGAAATAGTTAAAATACAAGGAGAACCTTTAATTCCAACTATTAAGCTGCAGTATGATAGATGTTCTTAATAGAGTCTACAAGAGAGATATTCGTACTTCATGTAATGACTAACAATTGAACACAAATTATTCTGGACGGTGTCAAGCAGTGAGTTGGGAAATGTTTGATTTATTAAAACGTAATATCAAGCAAATTTCCTAAATTATTTTCAGAAATACGTTGTTCCCTTTCCACAAATAAAATAGAAACATTCAACAGTTAATATGTATCAGCAATTTAATAGTGGACATGTTCACTATGTAGTTCAGGGGTTTGACAACATCTCTAAATAAGTTCTAATAACAAACCTTACAATAAAAAGGGATATTTATTAGTTATCCCTAGTGATTACTATTTACCTGATTCAAATTAACTTGTGATTAAGTCCAATTAGAAATCACTTATTTTCTTCTGAAATAATGAACGTTTCATCGAAAAGATTACATAAGATGATAGGGATCCAAAACGTAATAAAATAATATACACAGTGACATTATATCCTAGTACATGAATTTGAAATTGATTAATGGATTACAGTACATGCTATAATCCAAATTCAATGATATGTGGAGTTACTTACTTACACCTGTTACCCACAATGGAGCATAGGCCCCCAACCAGTTTTCTCCAACTAACTCTGTCCTGGGCTTCCCTTTCCAGCTCTGTCCAATTTTTGTTCATTCTTCTCATGTCTTTCTCTATTTCTCGGCGTAATGTGTTCCTTGGCCTTCCTCTTTTCCTTTGACCTTGTGGGTTCCATGTGAGGGCTTGTCTCGTGACGCAGTTAGGTGCTTTCCTCTATGTGTGTCCTATCCACTTCCACCGATTCTTCCTGATTTCCAACTCCACTGGAATATGGTTTGTTCTCTCCCACAGCACACTGTTGCTGATAGTGTCTGGCCAACGAATCCGAAGTATTTTGCGTAGACAAATGTTAATAAACACTTGTATCTTCTGGATGATGGCTTTCGTAGTTGTCCAAGTTTTCGCTCCATACAGTAGAACTGTCTTGACATTTGTATTGAAAATTCTGACTTTGATGTTGGTTGATAGTTGATTGGAGTTCCAGATGTTGCTCAATTGTAAGAATGCAGTGCTTGCTTTGTCGATTCGCGCCCTCACATCTGCATCGGATCCACCTTGGTTGTCGATGATGCTGCCTAGATATTGTGGTGGTGGTGCTTGGTTCTCTGAGCTGGATCTTTTGGTTGTGAAGCTTTCATTGTTCTTCTGAACATCATCAGCACAAACTTCAGATAGAAGTGAAGCATTCGAATTTCTCCACGTTTGACCTGTAGCTTGTTCTGTTAACCTCGATCTTGATTGGTTGCTGTTGACCTTAAACCTGTCGTTGTTTGCACCTTTGTTTTGATTGTATCCCCCTTTTGATCTGTTTCTTGATCCTATGTCACCTATGATTTTCCTGATTGGTTGATAATTTGGGTCAATTTAAAGGATTTTACGGCCTCCAACGCATGTCCATGAAGAGTGATTTGGTTGGCGCATGTTGTGTTGTATCGCAGAATCTTGCGTTTCCCTCTGTGTGTTGACACCTGCTGCTGCAACACTGGTCGTCTCCTCTTGGACTTGTTGTTGAGTGTGCGGTAGAAGAGCCAGATCATCTGCGAAGTCCAGATCGCCCAGCTGCATCCGAGCTGTCAACTGTATACCGTGCTATGTGTAGTTTTAGAATTATATTTCTGATGTTCTAGGGAGGATTTTGATGCGAATTCTTAGCTCAATCACCGTCAACTTAATGTATGGTATATATAGGAGATAACCCAAGTTGCCATATGAAATTAGCAAACGAATCAGAATAATAACGTGACAGAAGCAACAATGACGAAGACTGTACATTGAGAATATGATTCGAAAAGACTGTATGAAAAGGTATGCAAAGAACAAATATTTGAACTCAGAATTAAGGGGAAAAAAATAAGGCGACAAAAAAAAGTGACAATTTACCTGAACCCAAGGTAGGTAGATACCAGAAACAAATTCTTCTGGTCGAAACATAGATGCAATTAATGCTTCAAATAAATGAACACATAAACGTTTATTTTCTTCAATATCTTGTTTTACTTTAGGTAATAGATACGATTCATAAAAGCTAAAAAAAAACAAAAGGAAAGGTTACAAAACAAAGAAAATTTAATTAAAGCAACTCTAGAATAATGTTATATAGTTGAATTTGGACGTTTAATTCCTATAGTTTTAATAAGTGTTAATTAGGGAGATATCAATAGTTAAAGTAGTGATTATAAATATATATAACCAACAGAATAATCAAGGTTATGTATGTGAAAACCTAAGTTTCAATGAAACACAACAATTTCCACAACCCTACAATGACAATTATCATGTACACACTGGTGATTAGCTTTGAAAGAAAATCTTTGGAATTTTAGTGAGAAGTCGTGTCCACTGGAGTTTAACCGTATCAAGTGTGAGGCAATTACTCACCGAGGACAATGATTGATCGGATTTGGACATTAACACAATCGAATCCTGAATCAACGGTCTGGAGCTTAAGTGTTCGTACGCGAGACCGCCGGCCCAAGATTTGATTGCCGGTTTCGTGGTCGTGAATGTGTACTGCTGAATAGTATCATACTAGGACGGAACGCCTATCCGGTTCGTTCAAGTGTCCAACGGTGGTCAAACATTGACCGTTGTTCTTGATTTCGATGTAAGCAGTGACAATCTTGACGACCTTATACCGACAATAGTTCGGAAACTTGTCACAGTAAACTGAATGTATTTAGAATGTCAAATATTTTAAAAACATTTCATTTTGTTTGCTTATTTCTCTAAAACTTCTGAAAATGTTGTTAGTTAACAAGTTAGAGTGTATTTTTTGAAATTAATCATTCATATCAAATTAGGCAGACCGAATAAATATAGAAATCTTTCAGATGTATAATTCACTTCATTTGATTTGATCACCTAAGTATTATTGTTAATTCTTATAAATAGTAAAGATTAAAGTTAAGTATGAACAAAATCTGGCGGTTGATAAATGAGTTACATTTACTAAGAAATATTGGATTAATTTTTAAGTGATAAAAGTAGAAAAATACCGACGACCAGTGTATCAGCAGCCTCTGCAGCAGTAGGTCTCAACATACATAAACGGAAAAGCAAAATTCTCCGATGCAACACAACATGCACCAACCAAATCACTCTTGATGGACACGCCTTGAAGGACGTTAACACCTTTACATATCTGGGCATCATCATCCTCAATCAAGGTGGATCCAATGCAGATGTAAGGGCGTGGATTGGCAAAGTAAGGGCTGCATTTCTACAACTGAACAACATCTGGAATTACAAACAAATATCAATCAATACCAAGACCAGGATATTCAATACAAATGTCAATACAGTACTACGGTATGGAGCGGAAACTTGGAAAACTACCAAAGCCATCAGCTAGAACGAACCTGATTCCAGCGGAGGAAGAAGCGTTGGAAGTGGATAGGACACACTGCAAAAAGCGCCCAACTGTGTTACGTGACAAGCCCTTACATGGAACCCTCAAGACAAAAGGAAAAGAGGAAGGCCAAGGAACACATTAAGCCAAGAAATAGAAAAAGATATGAGAAGAATGAACAAACATTGGACAGAACTGGAAAGAGAAACCCAGGATAGAGTTGGTTGGAGAAAACTAGTTAGTGGCCTATACTCCACTGGGGGTAACAGGCGTAAGTAAGTAAGTAAGGAAAATACCACTGATAAATGTTTGAACATATACATACTTTAAAAGTATTATTACTAAAGTTCGATTTGATCATTTAAAAAAAAAACAGAAATTGAAGATTTGGTAGTAGTATCCCAAGTATGAATGAAACAATTAAATCGTCTAATGTTTCATGATTCATAGTAAGCCACTCTCCTTCAGAGAGAGAATAAAATGAGTCACGTAACGTCAGAAAATTTAATTGTTTATTTATTGAGATATTTTACAAACATATTATTGATTTTCCTCATTAAATATACTTCAAGTTTTATAATTTAATATTTTTTTAAAGAAAACATTTTACAAAAAAGACTCATCTCATCAAACTGTAAACCATTTAATCAAAATGTATGAATAAACAAACAAACACAGTATAAATTATATTGATAGAAATTAACAAACTCTTACTGATGTGCTGGTTCATGACCTTTGGATGAAAACACTTTAACAATACGTGGATATACATGAACTGACCATTCTAATGGTTTTAACATTTCTAACAAACTATCCCATCCATCTAAATGTGGTAACATTTTCACTGTTTTTGGCAATGGTCCACTTCGATAACTTCGAAGTACATCAATTAAAAGATTTAAATGATCACGTAATTCTTCTGGAAGTTCATTTAAATCTTCAAATCCTCTTACTGCGTCTAAATCACCAATTACACTACCAGTGTATTGAGACATATCTTCAGAAATCTAGGAATAATTGTGAATGGAGAGAAATTAATTGCGATCAATAAACTATTTTATATTGAATTCTTTAAATAATAATAAGAATTTTGTTGTGAATTTAATACTGTAGAGCTTTTTTTGAAAAATGCTGTTCTACAGTTCTCAAGGTAAATATAAGCTCTCATCCATTGATAATAATGAGGTGAAAACCTTTATTTACATTTATAATAAGTTACAGATCGAAAAAATCCTCATTTTTTTTTACTGATCGAATGGATTTCAATCAAACAACTTAAACCTGAATCTCTGTGCTAATGTAGTATGGCAACTTGAACTGATGTGCGTACGTACGAAGTTCTACGTTGTAACTAACTGACTGACTGACTGGTGAAAAAAAATTTTCAATTAGATACAGGCTATGTTACTTTATTTTCTATTAATTTCCTGGTAAAAGAATGCTTAGTAAAAAGAGGGTATCCAGACATGAATAACACTAAACGATCGTTCATCATCTGACGAATTCGACGATGTTCCCCGCTCCATCGCTAGAATGTGTGATTACTGTGGCTTAGTAAGATTATTTATCTACACTATCACAGTAGTGGTGTAAACCATACTCCTCAAATCAAAAATGTATTCCGAAACGACTTCAAAGTTAGATTAAAAGCATTTAAAAATCAATCTTCCCGATAAATTTATTCATGCTTTATCTTTGGATTGTGGAAATACCAGTGTCAAAGCTAGTTACAATGATTTCTTCAGTATTGCCAAGATGATTCTTTGATTTGTAGATGGTCTTTCAGTCAGTCAGTCAGACAGTTACAACGTAAAACTTTGTACGTACACATACATCAGTTCAAGTTGTCATACCACATCAGCACAGAGACGCAATCGCCACTTCAAATCCCATAGTAGTAGAGATAGTAGAAGTATTAGTGGTAATGGATAAGATTAGGGATCGAAGATATTATTCAAGAAGTATAATCCAGTGAAATAAACTTAAAAAGAGAAAGATAAAGGTGATAACCAATTCACAAGATTAGAATTTGAGAGAAGGAATTCGAAGCTTTTCGAACTACATATAGCAAAGAAGAATGGAATAAATAACCTTTTTCGAAAGGTTTAGATAACTTCCTTCACTTCATCTGCACGTAGTTGAATTTAGAATACTGTTTCACACTCTCAGGCTATATGGTGGGGAAAACGTTGACGACTAGAGGTGGCATCTAGAATAAATGGTTGTACTGCTGTACCATGACTTTCTTTTCCGCCCCTTTTATTGAGGGCGTTTGGCGTGATGAGAAAAACTCATCACTTGATGGGGATCGGAATCTGACTCAACAAAAGAAATTACTTCTGACAATATGGTGAGAAACACATATAAAGTCACAAATTGTTGCAGACTGAGTTATTTTAGTGATCCGTTCGGGAAAGATATCTGTAAGCTAGGTGACATGCTTATCAAACCTAATTCCCAACAAGCGTTAACGACGAGTACATATACCAAATCCTCTCGGTATGACAATCAGATGATAACAATAACAGATTTAGCAATACGAGTTGCTCTCCATTTCTCATATAATGTAGGTATCTGATAAAGTTTACATTGAGCGTAAGGTACTTAATATTAATATTACATAAATCCTGGGTTCTTAAGTTATGAAATAATGAACCGATCAACGTTTGACTACCATTAGACACCTGAAAGAACCAGATGGCCATTCCATCCTAGTAAGACACTATTCAGCAGTGCGCATCCACGATTCTGGATGGAAGTTGAATAACCATGTAAATGACCGAAATGGCCGTCACACTAAAAGGTGTTATTGCAAAAAGTCGAAATTGAACTCAAAATAACCCAAAAAAGGTGTAACGACATGAAGACAATGTTTTATTTATTCATAGGGGGTAGTAGCTAGAATGAGTCGAACCCTAAGTGGTGGTGACATGACCTGTTTAGGAAAACAATGGTGAAGTTGCCAACTAAGGTAAGGAGAATTAGGGAGGTTGAATAGCACATTATGATCGACTAAAAAAGGTACTGGAATACGAACAAAAAACTTGACGGTAATAATGATGAAGATACTGTCTTTGGTTGCGATGGAAAAATAATCGCATGTACACGTACACGTACAAGTAAGGATAGATTAATAAGTCAGAACAGAACAAGCCCTAATTAAGACATATTAGAATGGCGCGGGGGCATTTACTCTTTGTGTTCTATGAAATTCTAACCTTCTGAATTACTCATCACCTCTATCTTTCTCTTTCTAAATTTACCTCACAGAATTATACTTCTTGAATAACATCTTCAAACCCTAATCTTTCCGATTAATTCTAATACTTTTACTACCTCTACTACTATGGGATTTGAATTGACAATTGTATCTCTGTGCTAATGTGGTATGGCAACGTGAACTGATGTACTTACGTACGAAGTTCTACGTTGTAACTGACTGAAGACACATTACAAGATAGCCATAAGGAAGTTAATGGGTGACTACTGAATGATATGCAAAATAATTGTCGATGTGATGTTGTTTAAATGAACAGCAATTTTGTGTAGACTAACATCCTGACAACTTTCTCCATTGAAATAATGGCAACTATAATTCAGACTAATAATAATCAACAGTCTAATCTTTTCGTTTCTATTCTGAAGACATATTACCTTTCTTTCTATTGTGAAAAAAACAACTCAACTAAGGATATTAAACTCCTCCTTAAATGAACATTAGATGATGTTTAAATTTTGTACTTATTTCCGGTTACAGTGACAATAACAGTAAAAAACAATTCATTTTATGCATACGCAGGAAACAAAAGCTTCACTTTGCCATACAAACACAATATTTACATTTATTAACGTTTAGCTCACCTTTAATTTTGATTCAGTCAAATTTTTTCGAAGTTCTGTCACAAGTTCTTTGTTTTCACTGGTTGATTTGAAAAATTTCTTCCAATCTTCATCATCTTCCATAACATCACCACCATCATATAAATCCTATGGATAGGTTAAGAGTAATCTTAGTATGAATATATACATATAATCACATACAAAATCAGGAAGATCAAGTTGAAACTCTTCTTCCATCTCAGATTCGTCTTCAGCATCATCTGATTCTGATTGCATAACTGCCATGTTATCAGTTAAAGATTTTGAAATAACTAATCTGAAGAAATGATAGAAATTTGAAGTTGTTTTTGCAAACTTTTCATCATCATCATCATCATCATCATCGACATTTTTCCGCATTAGTTTGCGAATTTTCGACACATCACGAGAACAGAGAACCTAAATAATGATTAACAATCAATACGAAAATAGATACGAACATTTGGATTATTATCGAGAGATCGCTTTTTTATTTTCGGCATTGTTTGAGGCAATTCGATGATAAAAATAATAAAATAGACGTCCTTTCAGTATCAGTTACACCTAAAAGTTTATAGAAAGAATAAATTTTTAGGAGTTCGATAATACAAACTTAAATTATGAGAAAAATATAAAAATTTCACATTATGATAAGCAGCAATCTTAAGCATTCGAAAACTAACAGTATAAGTGCTACTGGCTATTCATAATGAGATAATTCCAACGATAACTGTGAAGATATAACATATTATTAACTATGTAAACATGTAATATCAAAAAATTGCCATGAAAAAAAGACTTGTCTTAACATACTAAAATTACTTATACAAAACCCTTACTTTAAAAGTCATTGTCTCCAGCTGACCTTCAGCATTTTTGGTACATTTTAGAAACACTTAAAGCATCAGTACTGTTTTATATCTGTTTTGGATCGGATTTAAGTTTACCTGACGGTAGCTGTTACTTTGACATGGCAATCTATTGTAACGCTTGCTTGAATAATTTCCAGCTAAATCCTATTGCTTAGTATTCTCTGACCACAATACACTGGACGAGTTCCAAAGAATCAAAAACACGGTTGAACAGAAAAAGATTATATTCCAAATGGCAAGGTTAAATTGAAATAAGAAGCCGAAGGCGAAGGCAAAATACATACAACGTTAGTTTCTTTATAGTATTTACATGAGAAGCTTCTGGATTGTAATTCATAATTCATAAATTGATGGCTAAAATTGAATCTAGTGAGGTATTGAGAACTTCAAGCAATTTCGAATAAAATACACCTGAATTATCTGTCCATTTTAGAACCTTAAGACTCCACTTAAACATGGATAGATTCCGAGAAAATGAATAATTCACCATACTGCATAATTTTCACATAAAATCTCACAGTAAATTTTATATAAGTGGAATTCTGATAAATAACGTACAAGCCTGCTTCAGCCAAGAAGGAGTTGATTGTGACCAATTTGGTCCCGTCTGCTTACATTGTACTGCAATATACTCCTTAAGGCAAAATCAAAATCTACACAGATTTAGGTATATAACTAGACATGTTTATCGTTAGTATAGCGTTAATTTAATTCATATAAATGAGGCTTATTAAGTTTGATATGTATTATTAATGGAACCATTCTATTTACAAATGTCTAAAGACAATACCAGCGGTTCTTCTGTACACAGTTTACAATACGTTCAATGTAGTAATTGGCTGCAAATGAATGGTACCTTGTAGACTTTAGAGGTAGTCGAACGCATTTACACTAGGAAGACCAATACAACAGCTGTAAAAAACTCGTTTTAAAGCTGTAGTAAAACGGGCATATGGCGATGTAGTACACGATAAATTACAACAACAATAACGACATTTAATGAAATTAATACCAACATTTTCGGTCGATCAATGATCATTATTAAGATGAAGGATAAGCTGACTGAACTTGCCACACCTGTGTGTGGACAAAGTGGAAAGGTGATCAGTGTGTGTGTCGTGGTACGAAAGAAAGAAGAACAGAACAGGCATCTGCTGGCTCTTTGAGATTCCCTGGTTGGAGTCATAGAGCTGGTGCGACTCAGTGGCTTCAGACGCTATCAAACATGACTAAGATTAGAAACCAGTGGTGGGCCCGCATCTTCCTCACATTAGAGAGAGGAAATTCATCGACTAAAACAATTCCTTCTGGCTCTATTTTCTTTAAGTGAATTGTTTACCTAATACTATGGGATTTTAACTGACAGTTGCACCTCTGTGCCAAATTGGAATGGCAACTTTAACTGATGTGCGTATGTATGAAGTTCCAAGTTGTTGCTAACCGACTGACTGACTGATTAGTTTAACCCATTCACGCAAAAACTTATATATGTATGGTTAATAAAAGTTACGAACCTAACAGAGGGCAGATGTATAACCATGGTTTTGACTATCATATAAGTAGAAGACGATTTTATATATCTAGTTAATATATATGTAAGTGGACAAACAACAAATACGCTTTACGGTAAAAACTACGTCAAAAGTACCTGTAATATAGAAAGGACACAAGTACCGGTGTAACAAGTGTAATCGACAGTAATACCGGAAACCACAATATACACGGTTAACTAAACATTTCACACTAAGAGAGAACACGGAGTGGTAGGCACGGGTCTTTTGTCAGAGAATCGAAATCCGCGGGTTAAGTACACAAGGTATCCTATATCCAATATCTTTTTCACGAGCTAGTCATTTCTTCGCGCTCCATACTTGTTCTTTCAGTACGGTTCCACGTATTCGGTAATGTTCAGTGGATGGAGGTCTAGCCACTCGACTGTCTAATTCTAGTCAGTTGGCAGTTGGTTGTGAGTTTGTATGTCTCGGGATTTGAATGAAAATGTTTGTTTCAGGGCAGTAGGGTTTCTGGATACTAGCAGCCATCACATTATCAAACCGGAGATCAGTTAGTTGCAATGTGGAGAGTAATAAGGGTAAAAGGGATAAAATTGTAATGATAATATGTATAAAATTTCAGAACTGAGTAATATATAGATGAATTTAGTTTGTTAATTGGTAGTGAAGGCATGGCTTGTTTACAAAAGTCTTATGAGTCATCTTGTAGATTCAGTGCTCGCAGATCTAGGTCTTCTGCTTCCAAAGCGTTTATTCTTGGTCGCCCAATAGAAAGAAAACAGAATCTATTGACAAAGTCATGCATAGTGACTTCAACTCTGTTACTCCAACCTCTTACAATTAGGCACTGTCCTCAGTTCCTGGTCTCTAGCATGCTGCTCCTCCCTCAGCTGACACCTCATAAATACTAGTGGCAGGTGTTGGATCGGCGAACCGATCATCAGAAGGTACTGTCGACTGATCTGGCTTTAGTTAATTGTAGTGCACCGTTGTCACGTCGTCCTAAGGTCGTTGCGGGTTACGTTGTACGAACGTAGTGGAAGACTGGATAAGGACAACAT